AGAGGACTCTGAGAGGCTGCACTGTCAGCAGGCTCACTCTGCTACTGTCCGTCTGAACTCTGGCCTCTTACAGAGTCCCAGATCTGTCTCTGTGGTGTTTCTTTCTGCCAGGTTTCCTCACTCTCTAACTGTGCCATTCACTTTTTAAACTGATCAGTAGTTTTCAGCGACTCTTACCAGGCTTCAAGGGCTGGAAAAGAGCCCTGAGCTGGACCCCATAACTGCCATACCACCAGAGGTGTAGAGAGGGTAACGAGTGCCCAGGGGCAATCTCTAAGTTTGCACCCCATCTTACCCCCTTGCTGACCTTGTTGACTGGGGGGTGGGGGTGGGGTGACTCGCTGACCGGCCTCTTCTGGTGCCCCCTTGGACTTGTGCCCAGGGGCAAATGCCTCTCTCTGCCCCAACCCCCCCCCCCCCCCCGCCTCTGCACACCACTGACCTGCTAGATGAACTGGAGCAAGTTTCCTCCTTCCTCTGGGTCTCTCATTCTTCATTGTAGTGGACCAGTTGCAACAAGTTAGACTCCAGAATCCCCAGTAAACAGTGAGGATCAATAGTTTGTGAAGTGAGTGACAGTTGGTTTCATCAGGTGTGCTGGCCCCTATCTGTCACCTGTGCCACAGATTCTGTGGTATAAATACTTTCTCACCATGGGTCATCTAGAAAACTAGCATCCTTGCCTTCTGTTTAGGCAGAGGAGCAAAGGGATTCCAGCACAAACAGCAGCAAGTGCAGAGACATGGGAGGACATCGTCATCTTATTTAATCTCCACAGTAGCACTGAGGTAGCGTCCATTATCGTCCCTAGTTGGGGAACCTAAGTTTAGAGAAGCTAAGCACTTGCAGTAGTCCACGTAGCCAGTAGGTGAAGGTAAGATGGGAAACAAAGCCCATGTTCCTAACCACGTAGTCATCTTCAGAAAACAGTACAATAAGTGGTTCCATGAGGTTGGAGTACAGGGGTTGGGGATACAGAGTGACAGAGGTGAGACCAGAGAGTGCAGAGATCAGTTTTTGCAGGCCTTTAAGTCATATTAAGGAGTATAGACTTTAAATGGAGGGCAAAGGGAGCCACTGAAGGGATTTAAAGAGGGAAGGACATGATCAGATTTGCATAAGAAAGATCAGTTTGGCTACATGAGAATGGATTAGAGGGAGAAAGAAAACATGCTGTTGTAGTAATCCAGGCAACAGACTGGGGTCTGGACTGGGCAGGGGGGTGGCTGCTGGAATAAAGAGTAGATTAGAGAATAAGGAGATAAAATCAGCAGGACTACATAATTTATTTGATTTGGGGAGTGATGGAGAGCCACTGTGCCAAGCAAGGCTCTCAAGTTTCTTGTTTGGGCATTTTGAGTGCTGTTCACTGGGATGGAGAACACGGATAAGAAGTTTGGGGGAGACAATTAGTTTAGTATTGGACGTATTGAGTTTGTAGGTGACTCTGGAGGTGTTCAGGAGGCATTTCGATATGTAGTTTGGAGCTCAGGAGAGACGGTGGTCTTCAGTGGTAGGTGAAGCTAAGGATTTGTTTGAAGTCATCTAGTGTGTAGAGCTGGGAGAGGTCAAGAACAGACTGGGGCACATGGGCCCTCTCTCGGCACAGGGCCAGGCACAGGTGGGAGGTCAGCACTTGCCTACTGGGTAGATGGTGGCCTGGAGAGAGGGACTGGGCACATTCACTTGGGCAACGGGAGGCAGATTGAGTGATTTGTCCACCAGTGAGGGAGGAGCCAGATGAAGTCAATAGAAAACTAATTTTCTTTTCTGCTGGAAGAAATGAGGTGTGTGGCCGCTGGGTAATTGCAGATAACGAGGGGACTTATTCTTAATATGCATAGTGGACAGGGTCCCCAGAGTACAGGAGATAGGAAGGATTGGAGGTGCCCTGACAGGGCCAGACTTCTTAGGGAAAACAATCTCCCTCTTACAGCCCCTCCCCTGATCACAGCTCCCAGGCCCCATCATAGCCCCTCCCCGCTCCCAGGGCCCTCCTGCACAGCTCTTCCTGTCCCATTCCCCTTCCTGTCAGCTGTCTAGCTCCTCCTGTTGCAGCCCCCCTCCACCCTCCACCCCCACAGCACAGGCATACGCACTAAGGGAGACAAATGACGAGGTCTCAGCTGAGCGGGGCGCGTGTCCAGCCCATAAACCACGGGGATGGGTCACGTCTGGAGTTGCCATGGCCGCCACTACCCACCCATCTGTCTTCCCACTGTTCTGCCTCAGACCAGCTCTCATGGCTTCTGAGTCCCTAGGGGAGCAAGATGTCCCTGTGTCTGGGCCCTGGGTCACCTCTCCATGCCCACATCCACCATAGGTGCATCCATGCTGAGCTCTGCAAAACAGTACCCTGCCTGACTTGTCCCTGGCCTCACCCGGAAACCTTGCCTACCCTAAGCAGGACCTGCAGAGCTGGTGTCTGGCTAGTGACACGGGCCCCTGGGCTGACCAGACTCCTCCCACTTCCTCAGCCCTTTTCTAGCTATGGTGGGTCCCCTTGCCTAGTCAAAGGTCCTGGCAAGGGTGGAGGTGGGGGCTCAGTGGAAGGGGTTGGTCCTTGACAGATGTAGAGGCCTTCTGACCCCACCTTGACCTTCCCACCCCCCCTACCCCTGATTATGACATCGAGGTACAATACTTCTGCAATCACTGCATCGATCCCATGAGGGATGGTGACGGCTAAGGCCCTAGTTATGGCCCTAGAGCATCTACGGGACGTGGGAGAGAGGTAGGAAGAGAGGCAGGTAAGGGGATGGGGAATCGGTGGGCAGAGGAACAGAAAAACCCAGGCACTGGGCCATTCTTGCCCCAGGCTTACTATAGTGGGAAAGGCTCCGGGGCAGCTGCACCTCCTGCTGGTGGTGGTGGAACCAACTAGCCCGTGGCTGTGTTACTGAGGCTAGAGTGCCTGTTCTTATAGCCGCCAGCGTCCTAAGATAGTTTTGAGCATGGAGTTTTTCACAGGGACCAATATTGGAGAAACTACTTGTGAAAGGGTGTGGCATGCCCAGACATTTAACCTGAGGTATTGAGGAAAAAGGGCCAAAGGTGACCAGCACCAGCATTGAGCCTACCAGGGTGGGACAGGGCAGGGCTGGGGCAGATGTACACAGGTGTGTCTGGTAGAGGGCTGACGGCCAGGGTTGTGGGGGGGAGCAAGTGCCCGGGCCAGCTGCCGTTTGCGCGCTCCTGCCTGGGGCACAGGGCAGACACACTTCCCAGGGCCCTGGCCCAGAAGTGCCAAGTCTTGTGCCTTGTCACCAGTGATTATGGGCTGGGCCACATCTCCCACACACAAGTGCCGGCAAAGTCACCCTGGCCATGGGCATGATGAATGGCTGCACAGTAATGAAATGGAGACATCAAGGCGGGTGGCGGGAAGACGGAGTGTGGCGGACAGGCCGTCCCTACGCGGCAGCAACAAGAAGGATCGCCCAGCGGCCGGGGGCCGTCAAGGGAGAAATTACACATTTACTCTGCCTTTTTCTTACTGCGACGGCGCCCATACATCACCGCTGGGGCCAGGGCGGGACACACCGGCCAATTTCCAGCATGAATTATGGGACTGAGAAGCATCGAGACCAGGCTTCCTGCTGGCCCAGCATAACCCAGCCCAACCTGAAGCTGGAGGTGCTGCCACTAGGGGACATGATCCCCTCTCTCAAGCCTGTGGCCCCAGAATCTGACCCTGCCTCCCACCTCCCACCTGCGGGCATGGAGGGGAAGGATGTGGCGCCCATCTAAATGCTTTTTCTTCCTCTTTCTAGATGACTGCAAGAACATTGCCAACATCATGAAGACACTCGCCTATCGAGGCTTCATCTTCAAGCAGACATCAAAGCCGTTCTGATTGGCCGAGGATGGGATGGGGCAGGACAGGGTAGCTGCTTGGCCCAGCCCAGAACCCTCCTCTCCCTCATAGAGGGGAAAAGAGAGTGGCACAGCTCTACATCCAGGGTGTCCCCCAGCTGCCCTGTGGGCCTGAGCCCCAGGCAAGGGCTTGGCCACTTGGCCCCTCTGGAGCAGATACTTTGTGCCCCTCCCCACCCCCACCCCTCCACCTCAGCCCAGTATTAGCCCCTTCCATTGTGGGCCTGGGCTAGGGGGACCCAGGCACTCACCGCCTCCTCCCCGGTACACAGGCTTCTGCTGGGGCCACCAAGCCCCCCTGTGCCCCCTCCCATCCATAGTGCATGGTGTGTGGTGCCCTCAAGGCTCCAGGACAGATCAGGCCCCACCTCGTGTCTACCCCATCCCCGCTGTGAATGTGCCACTGAATAAAGTCGGGGAAATGAGGTCCTGGGTGTGTGCAAAGCTATTTGTGTGTGCAAGGCTGTTGCTGTGCCCAACGCTGTCAGAATGTGAGGGCAGTTACAGCAGGCCCCAGGCTGCCCCTATGTACAAGGCCATCGGCATGTGACTGACAAGTCACTGGAGCACCTGTGAGATCCTCACTAAATACATACCAGGCAGTGGGGGTGGGGGGGCTGAGCATGAGGCAATGTATGAAGCTGCTGGTGTCTGAGGCCACTGCTGTGTGCGTGAAGCCATCAGTATCTGGGCAAAATTGGCATTGGTAGAATTTGCACCTTCCATGTGGGAGACCTGAGTTTGGTTCCCAGCCAATGCACCTCATGCACAGCCACCTCCCATCTGACAGTGGAGGCATGGGTGTTGCTATGATGCTGAACAGGTTTCAGTGGAGCTTCCAGACTAAGAAGAAAGGCCTGGCGATCTACTTCCGAAAACCAGCCAATGAAAACTCCATGGATTACAACAGTCTGATCCTGTTGTGCATGGGGTCGCCGTGAGTCGCAGGCCGACTTGAGGGCAGCTAACATAAAGAGAGCTGCTAAGGGTCTCAGTGCCGGCAAACCTCAGATGCCAGCAAACCTTGGGTGCCAGCCTCGTAGAGAGGGTGTGGTGATCCCCTCCTGGCCCACCCCTCCCAGCCAGCCATGGGCACCTGAAGTGGTGGAAAGGAAAAGGAAGCAGCCCAGTACAACTCAGCAGCTCTATTTACACAATAGCAACACCCACACTCTGTGTGGCCTCTTACGGCTTCTTGGCTTTCTTCACAGAAGATGAACTGGAAGCCGATTCCCGTCGCTTCCTCTGAGGAGACACACAAAGTGCTGAGGTCAGTGGCCCCCAGGCCTGATATAGGCCTGGTGCGCTGTTTCACATTCTCAGGGAGGGTGATGCCCACTCAGCCCACTCCGACCCTCAGTCTCAGAACCCCGCAGAGGGGACTCCTGTTGCAGGCGCTAGAGGGAGCACCTGCTCACAGGCAGGCCAGTGCATGCTCTCCCAGCCCGTCCAGACGCTTACCGAATTGGGTGTGAGGGGTGCGCCCACCACATCAATGATTGTGTCCTTGGTGGGGTCAGGGCCAGGACCGGGTTCAGGCACCACTGGTTCAGCAGAGGCCGGGGCTGGGCCCGACGCTGGCATGGCAGGACCCCCCAGCACGCCAGCGCGGGCCAGTGCCTCGTGACGGTGCCGCAGCATCTGAAGCTCGTACTCGCAGTTGGCACAGGCCTGCTTGAGCTCGTAGAGCAGCACCAGGTCACTTCGCAGCTCGTTGAACATGTGCACCAGCTCCTCCGTGGGTGTCGGGCTCAGCTCTGTAGGTGGGTGGGTGGGCAGCATATGGGCAGAGCTTGGGTGTTGCAGAAGGCCAACATGAGCTGCCCCTTCCCTTGCCCAGTGTTTATCCATGGCCTTGGGTGGGTACATCCTATGGGGGCCAGCCCCTACACTCACCCACACCAAGCTCCAGCAGCATCTGCTCCAGGGCCTTTATCTTCTTCTGTCCCACGGAGCTTGGCAGCTTCATCTACAATGATCCAGGCAGTTAAGCCATCTCCCCTATTCCCACCCCAAGAGCCTCAGGATGAAGGGGACTAAAGACAGTGGGGTTGTGGGAAGAGAGAAGGTAACCCCTGAAGGCAGCTATGGGCCAGAGAAGGAAGCAGCCAAGGAACAGAATATAGTGAAAGCTGTGACCACAGTCTGGCCATATCCCTCTGAGATCCTGGTGAGGCCACTCCTACCTGCAGCACATGGTACAACCTCTCCTATTGCTCCAGCCCCACAAGCCTGCAGCATCCCAGCCATCCAGAACCCAGGGCCTAAACACGTTGAAGGGGGTGACTGACGTACCCGCTGGCTCCGCAGCGTGACACCTGCGGACTTGAAGTCTGGAAACTTGATGCCTGCAGTCTCAGGAACAGCCTGGGGGCGAAGGAGTTATGGAGACCAAGAGGTCACAGGGAGCGGGTCTACTGTTAGCCCCCGCACCCTGCCAGCTCTGGCTGCTTTCAGAGCCCTCCTCTAGGGACCTGAGTATCAGGGTGGGGCCCTGTGCCTGGGCTGCCTTAGCGCCTTAGCCTCGTACCGGCTTCTCAGCCTCCTTTTTCTGGGGTAGCTTCTTTTTGGGGGCCTTGCGCTCTGTGCGTCGCTGCTCTGCAGTGGTATCTGCCGCTGTTATCAGCTTCTGCAGGTCCTGACTCCGCTTCTCCCGCTCCTTCTTCCGGGCCTCGATCTTGCGCAGCTCCTGTAGCAGGTACTCCTCCTCTGCCACCTGGGAAAGAGAGACGCTGAGAAGTGTGTGAGGGTACACGGGGAGGTGAAGGGCTGTAGAGAGCAGGGGGATGGCCAGTGAGAGGCAGGAATGGGCTGGGGATGAGGGCATGGAGAGTAGAGGCAATGGGTGAGAGGTTTCAGGCATGGAGAAGAGGTATGTGGGGCTTGGGCTGACCTGCTCTGGGGTCCGATTGTAGAGCCGCTCCAGCTGCTCCTTCCGCCGTCGCTCATGCCCAGCATCAAATACTGGTATCTTAAGGTCTGTGCCTGGCACAGCCCGCACATTGGCCAGCTTGGCACAGATGTGGTAGTACCGTTCCTTCAGGTCCTCCACAGAACGTTTCTGAGGACAAAGACGTAAGCCACGGGTGGGGATGGTATGAGCACAGAGGCCACGTGGAAGGGCTGATGTGAAGGTAGTGTGCCTTCCAGTCCTGGGGGTTGGGCACACGTGCAAATACATGACATCAGCTCACCTTGAACTGCTGGTGGTCGTAGCGGTCATGGATAACTATAAAACGCAGGTCAAAGCGGCGGCTGAGATCAAAGAGGTGGTCAGTCTCCGCCTTAGTCCAGGCATCATCATGGAGGTAGAGCTGGTACTCCTGCTCTGAATACACAGGTACCTGCACAGTCTACAGGCACAGAAGGGACACAGTGGGGGGGCATGCTCACATCATGTCATATCCAGTGGGCTCCAGCCCCCTTCGACCACAGCTCCTCTGTCTACAGCCAGTCCCTGGGCTGGACAGAAGCAAACCACCTGCCTGTGGCCCTGCAGGGGGCAGCATGGAGATAATCTGTGAGGAAAGAACCTGTCTGCTTGACTTGAGGCCCTGGCAGCTCTGGGACTGTGGCCTGCCTCTAGATTCACTCCAGGAGCAACTTCAAGACCCTTGTAGCTCTAGAGCCTCAGTAGCAGACACATACTCCTGTCCCCATGGTGAAGGTGAGGAACTCAAATGCAGGTGCTTCTGTGGACCCCAAAGGTCAATTCTGGAGTAGAGCAGATGGCGAAATACCTAGAGATAACCTGGGAAAGGCCAGGATCCCTGAGTCCATGCAACTCTTGTCTGAAGCACTACTGCCACCCAGTGGTGACAATGAGACTTGCAGCTCTTCCTGAGCTGGCCAGGGTGATACCTCTACAGAAATGGGGCCTGAGTCCTAGTCCCAATACATGCTCCCTTGCCTATGTCACTTCCTTCCCCACCACCCTCCAGACCTCCTCAGAGACAAACACCACCACCAGTTGGGGCCATCAGTCAGAGATCCAAGGAAGGAATCAACACTAGACTGGACCAGGGAAGTTTTTCTACAAGACCACAACTGACTCTGAACTGGTCTCAAGACCTGACTTGAACTGCCTCTTGAACATCTACTGGTGGTTCACAAACACTTCAAACATAACACGTTCAGTGCTGAACTCATCACCTTCCCTCAACTCACACTCCCTCCAGTCCAGATCTCAGTCAGCATCACCATCACCACCCAGTTGCTGAAGCCAAAAACCTGGGAGGCATCTTTAAGTCCTACCTTGACTCTTGACCTCTACCCGTCACTAAATTTGTAGCTTTACCTCTGAAGTATCCATCTCCAATGCCACATCCCAATCCAGACCACACCATCCCTTGCCAGGAACAGAGAAACAGCCTCCCGACTATATCTCTGCTTCCATCCAGTCCTCCTCCAATCAGTGCTCCATCTGCAGCCAAGATTTGCTCTCCCTGAACATTGCTACTTAAAGTGCCATCTGCAGACCAGTGCTGTTTGGCTTGCAAACTGTTTACACTGATCGGCAGTAAGAATGGAAATTAAGAATAAGCATTTAGAAGCTTTTATAACAATTTTATAGTAATCACGTGTTGCTGAATCTAATAAGAAAGAAACTTGTATTTTCTCTTTTCATTTTACTCTATCAGTTTGTGATAGATTGGAAATTAAAAAAAGACATCCTTCACCACCAATAATCTGAAAAGAACTGTTCTAGAATATATATCTGATCATGTACCCAACCATCCCTTATTAAACCTCTCAAAGACTCCCCACTACTCCAAGATAAAGTGCCTTCTAGATAATCCGCCAACTCCTCAAGGGCAAGAACTGTCTGGTACATTTCTTACTTTCAGGGCTCAGCACAGGGCCAGGCACACTACAGGTCTTAATGAATGTTTACTGAACCAATCAATGAACACATAAATCAATGACTTGACTTCTCTCTGCAGCCACTGCCCCTCATGGACCCAAATTTGTGTTCCAGCCAAATGACTAACATAATTTCTGGAACATAACAAGCTCTCCCCCTCAGCCTTTGTTCTTGCCTGAAATGCCTTCCCATCTCCACACTCCTTCTACCTAGATAATGCTTTAGGTCTCATTCAGGCATCATTTCCTCTGAGAAGTCTCCCTGATTTCCCTGGCTTGGTTAAGTATCCCTCCTATACATTCTATTTAGTTCAAAAAACTCAGGAACCGTGTAGCCAGTCCTGCTCTCGAGCTCAGAATCAAGCAAGAAAGACAGTCCTTTGTTCATTCATTCAACAAATATTTACCAGACTGGGGATACCATGCTGCATAAGACAGACAGGGTTCTTACCCTTTCAGTGCTCACAGTGCAGCCAAAAGAAATAACTAGTTTTAGCACAGTGTGGCGAGTTTAATGGCATGTAATGAATGACACCTAATCCAGCATGGCGGCAAGGCTAGTCAGAAAAGTAAATGAGGCCTAGTTCAGGCTTAAGGTTAAGTAGAAGTGAACTGGTGAGGGGAGATGTGGGAAGAGAATCCTAGGCAGAGGGGGCACCATGAACACACTGTGTGTGGGCTTGGCAGTTAGGGACATGTTGGGGAAATGAGTAAAGGGTGAGATGAGGAAAGGCATGACAAGAACCTAGCAAGACAGCAAAAGCCAGCTCCGACAGGGCCTTGTGTGTCCTGCCTCGGAGTCTGGAATTCATCCTGAGGGTGATGGGAGCCAATAAGGTCCAGAGGCCCTGGCAGCTCTGGGACTGTGGCCTGCCTCTGGATTCACTCCAGGAGCAGCTTCAAGACTCCTGCAGCTCTAGCGCCTCAGTAACACATGCTCCTGCCCCTGGGTTAAGACAAGGAGCTCAAATGTAAGCACTTCTGTGGGACCCCAAAGGTGAACTCTGGAGGAAAGCAGATGGCTAAATACCTGGAGATAACCTGGGAGAAGTTTTACAGAGAAGATTGAAATGGTCATGTTCCTCTCTTAGAAAGACCACCCTGGCAGCAGCGAGGAAAGAAGGTTAAAACAAGAGTCCAGGAGACTAGCTGGAAGGTTCTAGAAATAATCCAAGTGAGAAGTGAAGAGGCCTGAACCACAGCAGCAACTGTGGAAGATGGAGAAAGGCACAGACTTGAGAGACTTGAGATAAAAACCAAAGGACTTCGCAACTGGATGTGAGGGGTGAGGGAAGGCACTATCACAGATGATGCCTGTTTCTGGCTGAAGCAGAGTGGCTGGGGAGCCGCTGACTGAGAGTAGGACCCCCGAGAGGAGCAGTACTGGAGGGGAAGACCACTAGATCACTTTACTCCAACTTCATTCTCTACCCTGTGGTCACTGTGATCTTTCTAAAACCCAAATGTGATGATACTGTTCTGCCTCAAATCTGTCAGAGGTTACCCAAAGACATTAGGGCAAAGCCCGAATTCCTGAGCTGTTTCCAAGGCCCTGTCTGACCTGGCCCCTACAACCTCTCAGGCCTCATCTCCCACACTGAGATGCCCGTAGCATCCCACACGTGTGATTCTTTTATTAATGCCTTTGCTCATGCCATCCCCTCTGCCTGAAAAGGCCACTTCACTCCTTTCCTAAGATCATCAATTCAAGACTCAACTCAGGCTCCAACTACTCTGACGCTTCTGGGACCCTCAGGTCCTCCCAATATAGCATGTATCACACCAGACTGTAATCGCTGTGCCTCCCCGAACCCCCTCCCCAACAATATGGAGAGTTTCTTGAGGGCAGACATGTGTGATTCATTTTTGTGTCCCCAGTGCCCAGGACATGAGCTGGCCTGGATCAGTATTAACTGAAAACAAAATGAATATATCGTCTCCACCTCAAAACGTATTGCCTAACCTTCCCTCTCACTGCCTCGCACACTTCACCTCTTCTCAGTCTTCTGTCCAGCCTCTCCCTCTTTTTCTCTTTTCTGGCCCCTTCCCCATGGCCTACAAACACACTCAGCATCCCCACAAAGGCTGCTAGCCTCTAGCCATCACCATCACTGCTCGTATGTCCCTTGGGAAACCTGCAATGCAGAAGTGAGCTAGGCCCAAGAACTTGCGCAGGGACCGCACACAGAGCACACTGGCTTTCCAGAAGGGAAAGAAAGGCCCAGGTTTGCCGACAGCCTGTATCCCAGAGGGTCCCAGGTAAGAACAGGAGGAAAACATTTTGCAGCAAGAATCAGAGAAAAACTCAAGAAATTCCAGGAGGTGTCGTCAGGCCTTTGAGTATCAACTGAAAGAGCAGCAGGGATGCCAGTCACAGAGGAAGACAGAATCAGACTCTGACTGTGCTGTGTGGCTTCTGCCCAAGCTACACAAGGCCCGGGGAGGAAAAGCTCCCTGTAATCAAAGCCCAGCGGCCTCTGCAGCCAAATCCACACTCTTGTACTTTAAGCAAAGGGGGGAAAAAATCCCTCAGGGAAAAAGTAGGAGATGCTAAAAACCCCTTCTAGAAAATTCCAACATGGTCTTAGCTTAGACACCGCAGATTGCTGGAATTCAAGGCAGGACCATTCAGGTCCATTTAGAAAGAAGATGGTACTCAAAAGAGGGAGTGGGAAGGATGGAAAGATGGGGCCTCCTGGTGTGGGGTCCTGTGCAGGAGCTCAGCTGCTCCTCTTGGCCAGCCTAGACACTGCCGCCTCGCCCACCTGAGTGGTTGTCAAGTCCTTATTAGTGGCAGCACCTTTAATGGGCACCAGTAGTACTGGACCTGAGGGCCCTAAGGATGGTGGTGAGAGGGAGGAAAACCAGGTCTGGGGCAAGGGAGAGAATGACAAGTTTAAACATTGATGTGCTGAGTCTGAGAAGCCTGTGAGCCATCCAGGGGGAGATGTCCAGGCACAGCTGACTACATGGGGCTGAGGGGAGAGAAATTGGGACTTGGAGTCCTGGTTTTAAAACCCCAGTGCTTTCAGGCTCTAAGGGTAGGCTGCTCCAGGCTGCAAGGGCTATGAGACCACATCATATAGTAGTTCAAGGAATGACCTAGCAAATCATAACCCAGCTGAGCTCTGCGTCTCACTGGCTGAGTGAGCCTGGGTAAGGCCCTGCTCCCTCTGAGCCTCAGTAATCTAGACCAGAGATAATTCATCTTGGATTACGGTGCTGGCACTGGTGAAGAACAAGGGCAGATGTGTAATTTATTATGGAAACAGGATCAGCAGGGCTCAATGATTAGCTGCATCTCTGAGGTCTAGTTCAAATGCCACCTCCTCAAAGAGGCCCTCCCCAACCACCCTATCTAAAGTAAGCCTCCCCTACCTAAAAGTTCACTTTTTATCCCATTTCATATCCCATTCATATCCTGGTTTCATTTTATTGATGACTCCTAACCTGAAAAAAATCCAATTTATTTTATTTGCTTACATGTTTATTATCTGTCTTCCCCTACCTTTTTTGTCCTGCTTTTGACTGAAATAATGTGAAAGCTACGGGAGAAAGCTAAGTCAAGGATTATTCCCAAGTTTCTGGTTTGGACTACTGGGTGGATAGTGGTGCCATTCACTGAAAAGGGGAACAAGTTTGGAGGTGGGGAGAAGAGGGAAGATGAGGAATTGTTTGGGTGTGCTGATCTGAGGTACCCGTGGGATATTCAGTGAGAGATGTTAAGAAAATGACTGGATATATGGGAACTGTTGCTCTGGATTGGAGATACTAAGTTGGAGTCACTGGCATATAGAGGGTAACAAGTCACAGGTAAATAATACACACCAGGAAGAGAGTATAGAGTGAGAAGAGTGGAGCATCTAGAACAGCAACATTTGAAAGGCCAAGAGAAGACGCCAACAAGAACCACAGCAGGCTCAGGGAAGGACGGGATCCCATGCGCATAAGGAGACCCACCGAGTCCTACCCTGCACGTATTTGCCATGATGACTGAGTAGCAAACCATGACTGAGACACAAGCCTCTGGGGTCAACCCCCAGAGACTGGAGAGCTCCCACAGTGGCTTAGAGAGGGTACACAACCTTGGCTGTGTCTGGATGGTGGTGGCTCACCTTATTGAACCTGGCAAAGGGGTAGTCCTTGCCCTCCTCGGCTGCCCGTCGCCAGTGGAAGAACATAGCTCCATCCTTGCGGGCTGGGTTGGTGAACGGCATCCACTTCCAGGGCCTCACTTTCTTGGAGCCCAACTTGGCCTTCACCGTACGGTAGCCCTGGCCAGTGTCACTGGGTAACAGTGGGGGTGCATCCCTGGCAGCAAAGTTTGGGAGAGTGAGGGGTAATAGTCAGAAAGGGATATAGGTAGCCTTTGGGCCCAGGGAGCTGATCCACCCTATAGCAAGTAAGTGATGTCCTGGAGTAAGGGATCTGAGCTCCTCTTGCATCCTGCTAAGCAAGCAGGAGCCCTGGCTGGGGAGGGCAGGCAGGGAGGGAACTGGCAGAGAAAACAGTTAGAGACATGGCAGGTGGGTCAGGGCCAGAGCCAGGGTTACTTGGGATTTAAGAAATACTTGCTTCTTGTCAGAGTAGAGCAGTGCATAGACCTCCCGGTGCATGCCCTCCGGCCTCTTGAAGGTCAGTGTCTCAGAGGACTTCTTGGACTTTTTCTGAGGGAGGAAACCACAGGAGAGGAACCACAGCCTAAACCCCTTTCCCTGAAAATTCTTTAGCCCAGCTCAATCCCTGAAATGAGCAAACCAACACCTACAAACACACGAACTGACACACAGTCAAGCCCTCACATGCCCACCAACTCACCTATCCAGCACAGAAACCCACTCACCTGGGCACCCCTAGGCTGAGGTCATCCCCCTCCCCACCCCACGTCACCTGGGTAGAGCCCTGACCTGTCAGAGTAGATTTTACTTTTCCACCATCTCTCAGAATGTCACACCACCTCGGTCCTCCCTATCTCTCACAAGTGCCCCAATCTCCTAGTCCTCTCATCTCTTTGAAGTATCACACCTTCTTGGTCCCCATCATCTACCACATATGTCCCACCTCTTCCATCCCCACATCTCATCAAGGGTGACACACATTCTCTGTCCCATTATCACAGATGTCACACCTTCTTTTGTCCTCCCTCTTACTAGAAGTGTAGCACCCCCTCATTTTCCCCAACCTTCTTCCACTGTCATCTCTCTTCTCTACTTCACACCAGCTATCCAACGCTCTCAGGCGCCCCTGCTACCTTGTCCGGGTTGATAATGTCTTTCTTGCTGATCGTCCCAGAAGCTGCATCCCCCTCTGGACCTCCGAGTTCTAGAATGTCCCGCACATCCGCGCCCGTAGCCATCGCGCTGGAGAGATGAGGGAGCGCCCCGAGGTCAAGGGGCAGAGTGTCAGGGCCGGAGAAGGGACTAGGCTCAGGTCAGGGGGCGGGGCTGTTCCAGACCCCAGTAGGGGCTGGGTAAGGAGGCGAGCCGAGACGAGGAGGGTGTTCCAAGTCAGGTCAGGGTTCCGCCTGTATCGCGCTGCGTGAGTCTCCCTGACGGCCTCATACGCTTCCTTGGCCCCCCGCGCCTTGGCACCTGGAACCCCTGGCTGCCGTCCCCAACGCCGCTCTCTTAGCCTAGCAAAACCGCGGACAGAAACTTCCGGTCGAGCGCATTCAAAACGCGGCCGACAGGAACACTTCCGGTTTGTGCTTAGAGGAAATGGAGCCGGCTGGCAACTCTGTGTGAAAGCTACTGGCGGTACCGAGCAGTCCTCAGTCGTTGCTTCCCGCGAGCCCGTGCGCGTTCGTACGCTGCCTGCTTTCTGGCATTTTTTTCCTCCGGTTGCTATGATGTCTCTCGGCTCTGAAGAGACAGCGCAGAGCTTTGTGACCTTGGGAAGCCACTAAATTTCTCTGAACTTGCTACTGCATTTGTAAATGGAAATAATTGTTGCTGTTAGGTGCCATCGGTTCGGACTCATAGCGACCCCGTGTACAACAGAACTAACCACTGCCCGGTCTTGCGTCATCCTCACAATCGTTGGTATGGTTGAGCCCATTGTTGCAGCCACTGAGTCAGTCCATCTAGTTGAGGGTCTTCCTCTTTTTTGCTGACCCTCTGTTTTACCAAGCATGATGTCCTTCTCCAGGGACTGGTCCCTCCTGATAACATGCCCAAAAGTCTCCCCAACCTTGCTTGTAATGAGCATTCTGGCTGTGCTTCTTCCAAGACTAATTTGTTTGTTCTTCTGGCAGTCCATAGTATATTCAATATTCTTCACCAACACCATAATTCAAAGGCATTAATTTTTCTTCCGTCTTCCTTATTCATTGCCTAGCTTTCACATGCATATGAGGCGATTGAAAATACCATGGCTTGGGTCAGGTGCACCTTAGTCCTCAAAGTGACATCTTTGCTTTTTAACACTTTAAACAGGTCTTTTGCAGCAGATTTGTCTATTGCAATGTGTCCTTTGATTTCTTGACTGCTGCTTCCATGAGCGTTGATTGTGGATCCAAGTAGAATGAGATCCTTGACAATTTCAAAATTTTCTGCGTTTATCATGATGTTGCTTATTGGCCTGGTTGTGAGGATTTTTGTTTTCTCTATGTTGAGGTGTAAGCCATACTGAAGGCTGTGGTCTTCGATCTTCATCAGTAAGTGCTTCAAGTCCTCTTCACTTTCAGCAAGCAAGGTTGTGTCATCTGCATATTGCAGGTTGTTAATGAGTCTTCCTCCAATCTTGATGCCCTGTTCTTCTTCATATAGTCCAGCTTCTTGAATTATTTGCTCAGCATACAGATTGAGTAAGTATGGTGAAAGGATACAACCCTGACACACACCTTTTTTAACTTTAAACCTGTTCTAAGGACTGCTTCTTGGTCTAAGTACAGGTTCCTCATGAGCACAATTAAGTGTTCTGGAATTTGCATTCCTGACAATGTTATCGATAACTTGTTATGATCCACACAGTCAAATGCCTTTGCATAATCAATAAAACACAGGTAAACATCTTCCTGCAGGTAAACATTTTCCTGGTATTCTCTGCTTTCAGCCATGATCCATCTGACATCCGCAGTGATATCCCTTGTTCCGTGTCCTCTTCTGAATCCAGCTTGAATTTCTGGCAGTTCCCTGTCGACATACTGCTGCAACCATTTTTGAATGATCTTCAGCAAAATTTCACTTGTGTGTGATATTAATTATATTGTTCGATAATTTCCACATTCTGTTGGATCATCTTTCTTTGGAATGGGCACAAATATGGATCTCTTCCAGTCGATTGGCCAGGTAGCTGTCTTCCAAATTTCTTGGCATAGATGAGTGAGCACTTCCAGTATTGCATCCATTTGTTGAAACATCTCAACTGGTATTCTGTCAATTCCTGGAGCCTTGTTTTTCGCCAGTGCCTTCGGTGCAGCTTGGACCTCTTCCTTTGGTACTGTTGGTTCTTGATCATATGCTACCTTCTGAAATGGTTGAATGTCGACCAATTCTTTTTGGTACAGTGATTCTGTGTCTTCCGTTCATCTTCTTTTGATACTTCCTGTGTCGTTTAATATTTTCCCTGTAGAATCCTTCACTATTGCAACGCGAGGCTTGAATGTTTTCTTCAGTTCTTTCATCTTGAGAAATGCCAAACGTATTCTTCCCTTTTGGTTTTCCATCTCCAGGTCTCTGCATATGTCATTATAACACTTTACTTTGTCTTCTCAAGCCGCCCTTTGAAATCGTCTGTTCAGCTCTTTTACTTCATCATTTTTTCCTTTTGCTTTAGCTACTCGATGTCCAAGAGCAAGTTTCAGAGTCTCTTTTGACATCCATTTAGGTCTTTTCTTTCTCTCCTGTCTTTTTAATGAACTCTTGCTTTCTTCATGTATGATGTCCTTGATGTCATTTTACAGCTCTTCTGGTCTTCAGTCATTAGTGTTCAGTGTATCAAATCCATTTTTGAGATGGTCTTTAAATTCAGCTGGGATATACTCAAGGTCATACTTTGACACTCGAGGAGTTGTTCTAATTTTCTTCAGCTTCAACTTGAACTTACGTATGAGCAATTGATGGTCTGTTTCATAGTTGGCCCCTGGCCTTGTTCTGACTGATATTGAGCTTTTCCATCGTCTCTTTCCACAGATGTAGTTGAAATGATGATGGTACCTACCTAAATGAAATACTGATAATCCATGTAAAACGTTAGCACAGTCCTGGCACACTTAATTGTTTTTTGATTGAATGAATTAGTGGCATTAATTTCCTCTGTTCATTAAGTGCTAAGTCTGTACTAGGCATTGTGCTAAGTGCTGGAGATGAAGAGCTAAACTAGACAAAGCAGAGCTTCCCAGGGTGGCTAACAAGGTGAAGTGAGGTCTGGACCCTCACTTGCACCTCCTCTGATGTAAGTGTTGGTGGCTCAGGGCCTTGTGGGGCTTTCCTAGAGCCCAGCTTCCAGGAACATCACTAGTCCAGGAGCTAGCTGCACTAATGTGAGTTAGAAAGAGGTCCAAGAACACGACCGCAAGCAGGGAGCATCTAAAAGTGTTCTTCAGGGGGAGAAACTTGCTGATCTCACTGGAGAGAGAAAGAACAGGAGGTCTTGAGGAAAGGCAGAAGGGGCAGGAATTCACTCCCAGCTTCAACTTCTATAAACCAGCCTACTGACCCGGTAGGACACATGGGCAATCAGCATGGGGGGTGGGGTGGGGCTTGTTAAGGCATGAAGGAGGCCAGACCCAAAGATATAGCCTGCCAAAGATCCAAGCAGGGGCTAGAGTAGCAGACAGCCCAGACAAGCTTACAAATAAATGTTGTAACCTGTTCTGATCTGGCAGATGGGAGAGGGGAGAGCTGCAGGCACAAGCCTGGCTAGACCCAGAAACTTTGAAGTACTTGCCCTGTTCCTTAGGGCTGCTCCCTGGGTGAAGCTAGGGAAGCCAGGGTCTCACAACAGAAATTGTCTACAGAGTAAGGGAATGTTCCTTGGAGCCATAAGTGGACAGAGCAGTGGGAGAGGCACCTCTTCTTGAATGCTGACCCTAAAAAAACAAAAAACCAAGCCCCCTGCCGCTGAGTCAATTCCGACTCATAGTGACCCTGTAGGGTTTCCAAGGCTGTAAATCTCTATGGAAGCAGACTGCCACATCTTTCTCCCACGAGCTATTGGTGATTTCGAACGACTGACCCTTCGTTAATAGTCGATCGCCTTAACCACTGTGCCACCAGGGCTCCTATACTGACCCTACTTGTAGTTAATTAATTGTGAAATTACTTGTTTGATATATACATTCACCCTTGATAGATTCATTTTCTGTGAGGAGAGGGATCATGGTAGATAGTAGGTGCTCAATAAATGTATGAATGTGCCAGGTACTGTTACAGGCTCTGAGGATGATGCAGTGGGTGAATGAGATAGAAATATCTCCTAGTGGAGCTTCTGTCTAGCAGAGGGAAAGGAACACTGAACATAGAAACAATAAAATACATAATGTAGATTTTGATGGTGACAAGAGCTATGAAGAAAATAGGGTAATGTAGGCTTGGCAGACTCTTGACAAATTGTGGCCGGGGAGGGATTCTCTGGGGAGGTGAAATTCCAGATGGAAACAGCCACAGAATCTGGGGGAGGAATGTTTCAGACAGGAGGAATAAGAAGTATGAGTTCTGACCTAAGACGGAAGGTGATCTGTATGCTGGCGGAACATAGAGAAAGCAGGTCAGTGCGGCTGCTGCTGGGTGAGGAGGGGGAGAACAAGAGGATTTGAGGTCAGAGGTAGCATTGTAGACCATTGTTAGGAGTTTGGATTTTACCCTAAGGGCAGTTGGATGTCATCTTGTCCTGGCCACAGACTGGATTCTATCCCCATCCTTGGAGTGCCACCTTGGCCACTGTCACTGGGAAATCTTCCCAGAATCACTGGTCCAGAGCTTCCTGCCCCTTGGGAAAACTGAGTCCAGGGGTTACGGGAAAAGGCACGAGAAAGAGAGATGTCCCTCTCTTGACCGTTCTAGGGAACCACTGTCCACATTTCCTCTCTCAAACTCTGAGTGGCAGCAGGTCCCACTGCCAGCCCTGGGAGGAGCTTGCTCAGCAGTGCTCACCAATTGGGTCCTATCTGGGAACCCAGCATCACTTCTGAAGAGACTTTGGCACTGCAGTGACCTGTTGAGGGGCCTGGGAGAAGGACTTCAGGCCAGGGCACTCCGGGCTGTGGGCCAACTGTAGAGGCATTTCAACTTTAACCTGAAAATAAAAGTCACTGAAGGTTTGTGGAGGTGAGTGTGGGGAGCAGAGTCAGGAAGAAGACTGAAAAGAATCATATTTGTCTTTTAGAAAGATCATTGGTGGCCTGCTATTGAGGAGGGCAGAGCTGGAGGCAAGAGAAACAGATGGCAGACAGTGGTAGAGTCAACTGGAACGGGGAATTGATTGGATGTGGATGTGGGAAGCAGAATAAAAAGAGGGCCCAGAAGCTCATCCATCCTCAGCCCATCTATTCACAGCTGGGCCCAGAAATAGTAGACTGAAAGCTCCCTGAGTTCCCGCTTGACTCTCTTCTTCCTGCTGCTCCTCTCCCTTCTCCTCTAGCCTCTAACTACTCACCCTCGTCCCTTTCCCTCACCAAGACTGTGAGCTCCTTAAGGGCAGGAATGTGTGCCCTCATCCTC